ATATTCTACATTTTTAATAATTAGTATATTATGGAGATGTTATGAAATTAATAATAAATTACATTACCTGTGCGTGTTGAGCATCATTTTATTGGGCATTACAGGATACTTTGGGTATAAAATACAAACACAGCCAGGTCAAAATATTTTGACAAGATGAAGTCAAAAGTTGTCTTGTTACGGGTGTGGAGTGAAATCTGGCTGTTCCACCTCAGCGCAGTGCTTTCCCCAGTGTATTTACACTATTTCTCACCACCATGCAGAGTTAGTGTGAACTAGCTTCTAGAGTGTGAACTAGCTCTGAGCAAGCTAGCTTGAGTGTCTACTTCGTACTTCATTGAACCATGTGGATTTACCCTTTGAGCCGGTTTCAAGACAGGGATTTCAGTCTGGAACTCTCTAATCTTAGGTGAATGCCCTACCCTACTTGCTATTTTTAGGCTTCTCTCTCTTCCTCTCTTGTCATAACATTTTTGAGAGGTCTTGCTTTCTCCTGGGGGTGAATGGGAAAATTCTGAAATCTTAATGATGGTTAGATGTGAGAAATATTTAACACTGGCCTTGTTAGACATTTCACACCTACTTCTCAAGTCCTCAGGATAGCTCATTGCATCATGCTCTACACATGAATACTTTAAGTAAAGATCATTTGGATTTTCACAACTGTTCCTTGCTGAAAAATAGAGCTTTCTTTTCTTCACAAAAGAAAGAAAAATTAAATTCTCCACATGTTCCTTGAATTATCCTTGTAACAGAGGAAGAAATTTTCTCCTAAGCTCTCCAAGGAACAGTCCATCAGTCACGCTGAATGACTGTTTAATTTACTTTATTAAAATTATAAAACTATTAAAATGGTTTCAGCACTTACACTACAAGTATATTACCTAAAGTGAAATTACATTTGTCACTAATGAAAAAAAATCTTATTAAAATACAGCTAATAGAAACTTGAAAATGAAATGTGCTTAATATGGAGTATTCTTTCTTAGTCAACTTCAGACAGCTCTGTTCAAGATAAATGTAACTTTTTTGGCTAGTTAATACCAGATACACGTCGATAATCCTATCCTTAAAAAACACTTATATGTGGTTTTCATGTTGGGTTTTTTTGGAATATGAACTCACCAGAGAATGGCAGCTCAGGAGCATGTACTCAGAGCTCCAGTCTGTGTTCATTTTATGCACTTTAGGCACCACAAACCATTATTTTGCTCAGGGGCAGAGAGGCGCTGGGATACTTAGCCAGTGAGGGTTTTTCACTAGATAGCTGCAAATAGCAGAGCGGGGCAGAAAACCGCAGAGGAACACTCACCATTAAGGAGGCAATCTCAGTGTTTTCTTTCTTATATATTAGTGTGGAAGCAGGGAGCAAAAACAGCAATGTATTTACACTCCTACGTCGTTGCAAACGGAAACCATCTCTTCACACATGTTGCACTTATCACCTTGTTGTCCCCTTTCGCAGTACTTCTCTTTGCATTACCACAACAGAGTCATTAATACTGCATACCTGCAGTGCCTTTTCCCCATTAGGGAACTGTACATGCTGGAGTGATCATCTTCAGGGATTCTAGCTGTAAGCAAGGACTGGAGTGCTGTTACTCGATAAAGGTATGCGCTACTATTCTAAACACAGCCCTAGATTTCTGTCCAAATACGGGTTTGTCAATAAAAAGAAAATAAGAACGACAGAACTTGTGCTCCTTTAAGAAAGCCACATGTGACAGGGCTTTAAAAACACGCTTAGAGCTCAAAGGAGAAATAAAGAAGAGAAAGAATGATATTATTTTGGTCTGGGGTTTTTGATGCAGGGTTATGGATGGAGAAGGAAGCATTGATACCAAACTGCAGTCAGAGGTGCGAGAACGAACATCTTGCCTGCTGTGCATACGGAGGGATTGTCTCTTATCCCATATGCCCTGGTTCTAAGAGTCTGCTTTTTGGTTAAAGCGTAGGTGTGTCTGCTCAGGAGCAGCTCTTTGAAGAAGCTGTAGGTGTAGCATGTCTGTCATTAGTCAGGCTGGAGATCACTCTCACAGTCATGGAAAATGAAATCAACGGTTAGTCAGCAGGTGAAAAAACAAAGACTCATTTTTCAAGTCTTCTTATCAGATGAACAAATATCTTTTGATGACGCTACCTTTCTTGTTTTCCTTTTTCTGATTCTTAAATTAATTTATTGTATATTTGAAATCTGCTGTAGACAGTGACTACCATACACAAAAATGTGCTTAGGTATATATGCTTCGAAGATACATTAAAGATTAAAAAGGTAAGTACATAAGCAGACAAAACCCATCATGATAGTTGGAATAGCTAATAATACTGATCACTAAGTATCAGATCATCACTCTAAATTATCAGCCATTAAGAATTAATTAGTTATTAAGTGTTACTTAGAGCTCTGTTACTATTTTGGTGATGTGAGAATCATTACTGATTTTCTGCTGTACACATGCAAATTCTTGCATTGTATGTCTTTATTTGAGACGTATTTGTAGCACTGCTTTTGATGCAAAGTGTCACTGAGAGAGGTTTATAAACTGTAAGACCACTTTTTAGATGCCAACAAAAGAGACATATCTATTTCAAAAGTAATTGGAGCACGCTGGTCAAACCATGTGAAAATAATCATATAAGAAATCCCTTTAAGATTTCTCTGTTCTACAGAAATGCCAGGTCCCCAGGAAACGGCTCTACAACACAAATTAACACTGAACAGACTTACACAGAAAGAAAATATTCCTCAGGCTAAGTAACCTGTTTCCACAAAAATAACCACTTCCAGTTTAGAGAGTCTTGTGTAAGGGAAGACTCACAATCTCAACTCCATTACTTAACTCCATGCTAAGGAGAGGAACTTGGGGAGCTACAGATCACACCACCTCTTGGCCATTGCTACAGCAACAGTAAATACAGGAACTTTACTTTGTCGCTCTTTCCCATGCACATAACCACAACACAAATGTCATCTTCTGTTTTGTTTCTTTCTCGGCTCTAGGTGAACAGAATAGCTTTCTACCTCTTTGTCCCCAAGCAGAGACACAGGTGTCTGTTCTCTGATGCACATCTCCCTGAATGAGGTCTGACATTGCTTCTCTTCCATGCAGATGATCTAATTATTCTCAAATGCTGCTGAAAGACGTTGCAGTTTACATGCTATGAGCTGTATCTCACAGTGCACACACCAGGCACCGGCTCTAGCTGACTTCTGACAGCCATCACCAGTCTGTGGCATAGGGCAGCACTTATGGACAACTGACATGGCACAGAAAGTACAATCAACATCACCTTTAATTCTTTAAAGCTGACTTCCAGCATTAAAAACATAAATGCACTTTCTCCCAGTATTTATAAGCAGGCTATGTATATATACGTCAAAGCACAATTTAGCCCTTTATAAATTTTCAGCTTTTAGCGCGCAATGACTGTTCAGAATAAATTTACAGAAGACACATCATGTTGGTATTTTCAACTTCCCAGTCAGAATACCATGCATTATAAACTATCATCTGTTTACAGGAACAAAGTAGCTCATAAGATGTAGCATGTCAGGGAAACATATTAGTAATACTATAAAAGAAAAAAGTACATTTTTCCTTATTTTCCTTTTAAACATGAAAGCTTTGCAAGCACACACTTATTCAGACCTTCAAGTTAGTTGTCATAGTGCTTCACTCTCCAGTTCTTTATATGCTGTGAACCTCCGGTGTCTATGCAGTTGTTTCTAAGGTAACAGATCAGGATGTCTTGTGAAAAAAATGAATCAGATCTTGAATATTCAAGACATCTCCAGTTGCAGAAATGAGAAGAGGGCAGTATCATCTCAACTGAGCGTTCCTAATATCTTTTAGACTCTGTCCTGATTTACAGACAAGACAAATATAATCCACCCTAAGGCTGCAGTGTGAGCATACAGTGGCATATGCAGTTTCAGGCATGTAGACTGTCAGAAATTTTTAATCAGAGCCATAATCAAGGAATTACGGAGACTGTTCTCAACAGAGTCTGATTGCCTCATTGCAGGGTACACACACAGAGAATACAGATGAAGAACATGTTTGGTAGGATTGTGCCTTTATTCCAACTACTGAGAGCCACACAGAAATCTTCCTGTCAGACTTGTGATGCACAAGCAGAAAATTTCATTAAAAATGAATGTGAATCAGCATGTGAAAATAAATCCATATATTCCTTCCTCAAGAGACTAGATATTCATTATTTCCAGCAAAGAAAACAAATAGATATGTTTCACAGGTGATTACCTGAGTCAATAATTCTCAGTGACTGGGTTGATCTGGTTTTGTCGAGGAGCTTTTGCTGTTTGTTTGTTTTAAACTAGCAAGAACTGCCTTTTGTTTCTTTCAGAGGCTGTTTTGTTTATTATCTGTGTCTAGAAATCATATAAACATATGAATGCAGACAAGGCTCACGGAGAGAATATTAACCAAAACATCATGTAAAGCTTTTAGAAAACTTCTGTTACTACAAAGAATTAACTAAATTCTTTGCTTAACAATGTATGCCATATAAATTTATTGATATATGCATTCTGGAATATACATAAACACACCCACCATCTGTGATAAAATAATCATAAGGTATTTTTCAAGTGTCTATCATAACGAGATCTAAAAAATCAAATTCATAAAAAAAGATCAGGCTTGATAAAAACCTTCAGAGCTGTATTATAATCACACTGTCCAAGGGAAAACTGAGAGAGAGTGGCCTGGTAGCTTGGGGATCAGATAAAAGTTACAGTCACACAGCTGGACAGGTCGTGACTACTCATAGCTGACTTCCTGTCTCTGAATCCTGTGCTCTATCCACTGCGCTACAAATTATTGCACGCTATAAACGCTTGGAATAAAAACTGTTCTGAATATTTACATAGCTTGTTTGGGAACATTCTTCAGCAACTACACTGCAGGAAGAAAACTTTAACAGTTTGGGGGACCTGTATCACTTAACACACTGAAAGGCATTAATTAGGGTCTTACGTTCTTGGAAAGATGTGAAGAGCATCTGGAATCGGCTGCTTCGACTGCTTTCATCTGCCCACATGCGGATTACACCGAGACCTGTCCGCAGCATTACATCATTAGCAACTGTGCTGCAAAACTTCGCTTTCAAATCCTCCACGGAGCTGCTTCCGTCATAGACAGCTACAAAATTCCTTTTGCATTCGTTGGAATTCTGCATCTCATAGTCCAAGAATCGCAAATAGATCTATGAAACAAACCAACAACAAAGGCAACATCTACAGGCATTTGAGAATGACTAAACAAACGTCAAACACCTTTGCTCTACCTTGTGGGAGAAAGACTACACAACATCACCATTAAAATAATTTTTCTGAAGCTGGTCATCCATAGGCCACTTCACTGGAAGGGCATTAATATGGACACTGAGCCCTGTTTATACTTCCAGGTGTTTTGTCTTGCTTTAAAGTAGAATCCAGCAGAAGATCTAGATATTTTTGTTGTTCTTTCTAATTTCTTTCTAATTTCTTTTTTCTTTCTTTCTAATTTCCAAATATTTATCTGTCTTGGGGAAGTATATACAACACTCCTTTAAGCTGAAGAACAGACAAGCTAGAAATTCCTTCTTTCACTGGCTGGCACAACATTGCTCTATTACTTGCCTGACAAGGAAAATAATAAGGCAAGTAATTGCTGCTCCCTCCCCAGAGTCAACATGTGTCATCTTTGTGGTATCTCTCAGCTACACTGATTCAGAAAGAGAATCTGGGGGCCAGGCAGAACTCAATCATTAATCTTTTTATGTTTCCTCAAGCAATTTGGCCAGTATCTCAGCTTTTCTAAACAAAGCCTGATCCTATATATCTTCATAATTTAACAGCGTTGAAATCAAGTGTATTTTGTGGAAACTGCTAGAAACCTAGAAATATTTTTATGAAATGTCTCTTGTGTACAAGCTAAGTTTTCTCCTAAATGTAATAGATGTCTTGCCCTTTGCAAAGAACTCTTTAAATCTACCCAAAAAGAACTAGAAGTGAGGAGAAAATGCTATTATTTGATATTCATTTCTATATGGACTTCAGTAGGGAAAACCACTCATTTTAAAAGCAACTGTTAATACAAGCAACACCAATTATTCCAGTAATAGAAAAGCTAAGTAGTATTTTCAATATACACACGATACAAAATCAAATAAGCATACCCAGGAGAACTGAGGAGAATGATACAGAAAGGTGAAGTAGGGAAGAACTAGCATAAAAATCCAGTAAACTTATCCAGTATCCAGCTGTATGCATCTTCACTTGAAAAAATAACCAAAAAGAAACTCCACTGTATTAGGCATCAGATATACTTCTCCACAAACAGTCTTACTAACTTCAGGTCGTTTTTTACATGCACAGAACAATTGCTTAAAAATCTTCTCTGGATCTGCATAACGCACAAAAACATAGCATATCCTAGTAGCAACAGGACTCACCACTTCACCTCATTAATGTATTAAAGCTCTTATGGTTTGAGAATTCTGTGCTATTAAGCAGTCTGCCACTGCTTAATAATAGCTTGGATTTTTAAATGAGCCCTTTCAGGTAGTGTATTATGGTACATTTTCATTCCTTGTTATGCTTTACAACTGGTCTCTCTGAGAAGAATATTTGTAAAAAAATTTCTACTGGCATATGAAATTTGGTATACTAAGTTTCATTTTGCTTGCCTAACCTTTTTCTAGTATCTTATTTCTTACAGTAATCCTTACTTATATTCCAACATTCCCATCCTCCAGAAGAACTCAGAGGAATATATTTCAATGAAATTGCAGTTAAATGAACTCTAATTTCACCAGGTATCCTGTTTTTTAAATACTATAAGTGAAGGAAGCTGCTTGTATTGATCTCTACAAAATGGAACAGTTAACAGCGGTACAGAAAGTAATATTCAGATGACAGTCTGTTATATCAAGGAATACTTTTTATAGTGTTTGTCAGTTCATCTACTGATTGCTCCACCCCTGCAGTGGAATGAAAAATTACTAGAGTTTGGTCACCCGGCATTGCTGAAATTTTCTTACAGTATCCAGCACTTTTTATAAATATTTTGTTTTGAAACGTCTTGCCATTTCCTTTCCTACTGAGGGACATGCAGTTTCCACTCCAGTTAAAACAGGTCACCTACTTCCTTGGCAAAGTTTTACTTAAAGGCTTGCTTTGAATTCTGAAGATTTGTTGAGTGCAGAAAATGTGTTTCTGAAGTTCCTCTTCACTAGCTACATCCCTTTACAAGTCTCTCTTTCATTCTCTGCTCTCTTCCTCCCTTCCCTGGGTGCTCAGGCACCCGACCCTTTACTCCTTCTCGTGCTCCAAATCAATGTTCCAAGTGTTCTCCAGCTATTTAGAGCATTTCTGTCTTGCTGATGCCTGACTACTTCAGCACCTTAGGTGTTCCTAGCCTTCAGTGTGGCTCCTGCTCTTTTCTGTTTATATAGCATCAACACACTTTGATGGCCACCAGGCAGATGGCTGACTCTTCTTCCAGCTGCTGCCCAGAAACTGTTACACCTCTGATAGGAATCGTATTAGGAAAGAGGAGAAATTAATTGGAAATAAGCAAAAATGAATAAAAAAAGGCCAGTGAGAGAACTGCAGAAAAGAATTTTGGACGAGGCAGTGACTTGAATGCAACTATGCAGAACCAGGGTGGACAATGTGAGATGGGGTCTTACTCCTCACTCCCATGGTTTGATAAGACCCGCTTGTATTAGTGGCTCCTGGGGTCCAGCTGGCACAGGGAAGGTGTTATCTTGCCGGAGCAAGATTACGCCTGAGGGAGCAATGTACCGGAAGAGGCAGAGCCATGATAGCCACACCCAGCAACTGGCCATACTTAGGACACACCAGAGAGCTACTTCTGTGCCCTAGAGACCAGACACTTCTGCTCAAACAGGAGCGTAACAGGCACTGTGAAACCCTGGCACCCAGCCCCCCCTGTGAATCTGTTGAGATAGTCCATAGTCCATCTCTGCGTAACAGTTCACTCAGGACAGGGAGTTAAGTTTGCATCTTGCTTTTCTTTCCTCTGCTAACAGAAGCATCCTGCTTCAGATGGGTGCTTCAGTGCTTGCCAGCTTTGTCACAGGTGATGCAATAAAAACCTTCTGCAAATGATGGTATGTAATATTATATACACATGACTTTTCCAGGAAGTAAGGCATGTCAGATAAATGTCTCACGTGAATGCACAGAAGGCTTCCAACATTTTATTGTCATGAATCATTATTTTTATGCCATATATGCCTATCATGTACACCATATAGATGTTCTAATATACAATATATAGATGTGATAGACCACACAGATGTAATGTGATGTACATATATTATTCTCTTACTACGTTATTCAAGAAAGCACTCACTCCAGAAAAAAGTATCTCAATGTAACTGCAGAAAAATAGTAAAGCTATACTTCGTCTAATGGGGGAAGGACCTTTTACACTTGCTCACTTGTTCTCTATTTCTATCCTGCTGTCTTATATATACACATTTGTGTGTACATATGTATGTGTGTATATATATATAAGCACATATATGTCTTGTATAGGGTATCCCATTTCAGTATTGAGATGTAATTTATATCATTTTTTATTCTCACAAGAAATGTGTGCTAATCCTTACTATGGTTATGAAATATCAGCTCTCACAGCAATTTCCAGCATTCATCAATTATTCCTGATCTGTTCAAACAGATTGTTCAATATAATAGTACAGCCAAAGTCTTATTTCTATGGCTTATTATTTGACATTCTCTAGTTTCTGGCACACTAACCTTATAATACAGTGAAATATTTCTTAGAGTAGCAGTTATAAATGCTGGGAAGGAATCAAGAGACCAATAACCCAGCATTTCACTTTGAGTCTTTCAGCAAAGAAGCCAACACTTCCTGTTCTTCCCAAGCCTGAATTCTGCTGTGGGTCATACCAGTTCATTTCTCTGTATGATAAATTCGGCTAAGATCACAACATGTATAGTCTTGATGGGTACTGGAACCACTGGAAAGAAATATTTGACTTAAAAATCAATGTCCGTCCTTCAGAAGAAAGATGGCACTTCTCCAAAGGCAAACACCAAAGAGGTTTCATAAATTAGAGAAAATATATTCCTGATATTCTGAGGTCAGATGGAGTTTGATTCTCATAGTCTCCTTTGGAGATGACTATTCCCAGAACTTTAGAGAAAGTAATTAGGACTTGATACAAAGCTCACTGAAGTCAGTGGGTATCTTTCCATTTACTTCTTTGGATCAGACCTACGGATTACAACTGCAGTGCATTTTTAAAAACTGGAAACTGATTATGCAAACTGACAACCTGATATTGGATCAGATTTTATTTTAAGGAGCTGGAATAATTTAATTGCATCTGCATGCCTCTGCCAATTTTTGTGGTTTTATTACTATATATTTGCCATTGTTCTTGTCACAGACTGAAAGACCCGCACTGGCAGAAGAAAATTACTAATAAATTGAGTTCCCCAGGGACTGATTAAATGCCAAAATGTTATCTAATGCAAAATGTTCCTGATACACAGTTTTCTGAAATCAGTGGCAATATTCTCATTAACTTCCACTGCTATGTAGATCTCACTAAAAGAAATTAAGCAGAAAGTGAGAGAAAAACTATCAATATTTCTGTTTATTTCATTTACTGAGATCTTAGTCATTACTTCTACCAGCTGCAGATAAGAAACTTTGCTTCTACAAAAGAAAATAAATGAACAAAAAAGAGGTCACAAACTCAAATTCTGCCATCTGCCTTCATTAAGCCTTTTTTCATTGATGCTGATGAGGGCTTTTAGAATGATAACATTTCCGTAGGTACTGACACATTGTATTAGCATAATCGGGACATTCTTCTTGAAGAGAACACCTGATTTGAAAGAAGAAGTGTATCTTCTTCTTTCACATTTTTGTTGTAAAGTTTTAGCAAGACACTCTCCTGAAATCTTCAGTTCCACATTGCTTAGAAGAACAGGCTGCTGGTGCACAAGTATTAGCTTTTATTGAGCTTCAAGATGTCACTGCAAATGCCAACCCCATTAACAAAAAACCTGATAAAGCCTCACTGCAACTGTGACATATATAATTTACACTCTATCACTTCATATTTTAAATAATTGTCACCTTTAAGGTTTGTATTTTCATCATAATAATGAAAAATGGAATGTTGGATAAGTTTCACTATTTTTTAATTTAAATTTG